TAACCCTATATTTTATGCATTACAAAGAAATAAAGAATCTGAACATGCTGCCCTAGGAGAGCTGATCCAATTAAGAAAACAAGACAGTGACCCCCACTGCTGTCCCCATCCTGGCCCCCAATCTGATGTTCCAGGGCAGATCTACCTCCTGATTCAACATGTCTTCCCTAGATAGTCATTCATATTACTTCCCAAATTGTTATATTTATATACAACTAAAATAGAGAATAGAACTGTGTAAAGAACATGAAATTTGGGATTATAAAACCCATAATTCAAGTCCTGTTCTTACTACTGACCCTGAATGACCTTATCCAACAAATTATTTTGATTACAAAAAGGAAGGAAACTACCTATCTCATAGGATTATTATGAGAAAGAAGCATGTACACATATATGGAAGAACTATGCAAACTAAAGTGCAATACAAACATCAGTTATTATTAACTAATCCAGACCTCTGTCCCAAACTCAGTACTAGTGCTTAACTCATCTAAATGTCTCCAGTTAAAAATCATACTATTAACTTCAACTCAACATATCGACATTTCAATTCACTGCTTCTCCTTTAAAACTACTCCTTAATTTTATCACCAAAACCTGTCATTCTCGTTACTCAAAGCTTGTTATTTCTATTTAAATACTATCATTTTTTCCTTTATAATCCAACCCCTCATTTTCAAATGACATAACCCTTATTTTAGAGCCTGAAAATGCTTCTTACTGTCTTTAAGTCTCTGTCCTGTTCCAACGTTTCCTGAACACTTCTACCAGTTACAACCATGGTAATCAGACTGCTTCCTCCTCAAGTATTTTCCCTAGAGCCTCACTGTTGCCCATAGGAGGCCACAAACCAATGGCCCACCATGCTCTGTTGTTTGTTTCTCTGCAGTTACCTCTCAAGACTTCAGTTCAGTACCCAGATAATTTTCCTTATTTCATTATCTGTTTGCCACTTTAAGCATATAAATTTGCCAACTCTGGCATGAAACTGATTAACATTACAACAGCAGACTCTGGGGCAAGATTTACCTGTATTTGAATCTCATCCTTCCCACTGAGGCTCAGATAACCTTTACACAACAATTCACCAACTATAAAGTGAAATATTGCCTTTTACAGTGTGGATGAGCAGAACAGAAATGATATATTTCAGACTCATTCACAATGCAAGTAATATAATAAAAGCTTTAAAAATGGTGGCAATTATAACTTTAACTCCTACATTCATGAACTTCAAAATTAACCCCAGTTCAGCTTTCTGAAAGTATCTCCAACTACTCCCCTACACAAAACCTATACTCTCACTTTACAAAGTCCTACCAAATAAAACTTCCCCATTTCTCCTCATCTGAATTTTACTCATCCAAGTAAAATTATCTAAAATGCTTGACAAACATTATTTAAATTTGGAAATATTAGTAAATAAATGGTCTTTAAAAAGTCCCAAATATCATTAAGATGTTGTCATTCTGAATTAGTCTCATTCATAACAACTAAATTCTCTTTATAAATTCTCTTTATTGCACTGATTTTTTTTCATGTCATATCATTTGATAGCTTCTGCTTAACAGAGACTCAAAATAACCATTAAAATGAATTTAAGCCAAATCTACTACAAAATAACTCTCCTGCCTCCAAAGTATACCAAGTAAGGATGCCACAGCCATTTTTCCTGCATTACTGTCATCAGCCGGGGTATGACACCCAGAGCAGTGCATGGTATAACTGTTAAGGGATAGCAATTATCAAGTTGTAATACTTCCTTTAAATGTGAATTTTTAAAAAATTCTTGATTCTCACACAACTATATCCGTAGTAAAAATTCTCTTGTCCTATGCTTCATTCTATAATAGATACTAAAAGTTAAAAAAAACTGAAACCAAAATTACCTACACAGCAAATGTTGAATTAGCTCCATTCTTTTAAGCCAAGACTATATGCAAACACTCAGCAAACTGGAAACATTAACAATGTGGTAGTGATTTAACTAATATTTTAACAGTTATTCTAGATAATTACTGACCAATTATGATGTGTGGAATATCTACAAACTGATAAGAGTTCAAAAGAGAGCAAAATCATGGTACAAGCCTCAGTCAAGGCACTGTCTAAAAAGCTGTGAAAACAGAAACTAACCAATGAGAGAAAGGGTGCTTACAGGCAGTCAAGTACTACACTTGCAAATGTTACTTAAAACAACCTCAACTTTACCAAAAGGTGGGAGAAAAGCCATCTTCTCCAGGCCCTGGACAACAGAGGTCCAGGCAAATTAGATTTATTAGATCCACAATGAAAGAATCAGAGAAATGTGATCATTAAAACTTACATACTTTTATCTGTAACCATAAGTACAAAATCATCAACCTAACATTCCATAATCTGCTTCTATATTATCTATCCTAGCTTCTCAAAAAGTACTCCGCATTTGTAATTTATCTTCTTTAAAATTTCCTACAACCTTATATACAAAGTTGACATGTATGTGCTTCTTGTTCATTATTCATTTTGCTAGAGCTAAAACTGTGTGTTGCAGGGGCTTAATTAACATTTCATTTAAAAAATGAATTTAGCTCCAAGTTGCTTTCCAGCCTTCCTGGATTTAATGGAACAAATCTCTATACCTTTGCCCATGCAGAGTAGAGTACATCAGTTTGCTTGCTATGACCCAAAACCACGAATATCTGTAGAGCCCCCGGCCCCGTACCACAACATTCTCTTATTACTATCCCCCTCCTTTGTAACCTGGTCACCCTCAGCAACCTTTTCACTTTTCCATGTCCATGCCAAGTATCTCAAAGACTTTGCATTTACTATACCTTCTGCCAAGAATATCCTTTCCCCAGATGGTCAGTCACACATCTAGCTTCCTTACTTCTCTCAGGTCTTTATTCAAAAATTACCAGTGAGGCCTTCCCTGGCCACTGTCTAAACTTTAGATTCTAAAGTTTTAACCCCTAGTCCTGATAGTTCATCCCCTCCCTTTTCTGCTTTTTTTTTTTCTCCCTAGCTTATTTCTGCTATCCCATATTTCTCTTGAATAAATGAGCACAGGGATTTGGCTTGGTTTGTTCATTGTCCTACATTTCTACAGCAATGCCTGGCACATAATAGGTACATGATAAATCCCTGTCAAAACTTGTTGATAGCCAGATGTTTTTTTTAAAGAAGCGCAGTGACTTATTCATGTCCTATCATGCATTTTCTTCTTCTAGAAATATCCTCGTACATTCTGTAAAAGCTCAAATCCCTTCAGTATATTTCCTTCAAATTTCCAATAATGCTCACTTGTAATTATTTCTATACAGGAATCCAATTTTCTTTCTTTTATAAAGCAAGGATACTTTCACATGTTCTTACATTCCTCACAGTAACTGGTTCAATGGTCTGTGATATATAAATAATTCTAGGAATGAATGTGTGGAAAGGAACTGCTAGATTTTTGACTTGAGTTTTTTGAACCAGTACTTTCTGTAGTGCACAAGAAAAGCTTAATTGGGGCTAAAGAACAGAATTACCCAATTGAGAAAATTTCACTAGCCAATCCTTGTTTTGAAAACATTCAAAGATTACACACATTTGCAACATAAAGCATATAGCAGGTGCTCAAACCGTTGTTAAATGCATGAGATTCTCAAAATTAAAAGCCAAATAAAAGCTCTTCTCAAGCTTACATAATAACAATTCAAGTTCAAAAGTGTGGCTTTTCAAGAACAAAGGTCTTGTGTCTGCCCTTTGGACTTTATGAATTTGATTTACTAAAATTCAATCTGCCAGGCTTTTTAAACTCTGTTAGCAAGGGCTAGAAAAATTTTCTCAAAGAGTAGTACATTTCATTGTCTTCCCTGTCACCCAGTAATAACATAAAAGAACTAGGCCAATAAGTAATAACTTTAACATAAAAGATTCAAAATAGACTAAATACAATTATTTTTTAAAAGCTAAATATCTTCAAACCCTTAGCAATCGTCTGCTTATAAACTCCTCCCCAAAACATCAACCACCTTCCTTCCTCAACTGCCTTCTGCTTCTCATAGTAATATCAAAATTGGAAGGGCTCTTTTTGTACCAAATATGGAAATACAATACTGAGATTCTCAATTAAACCCTGATTTGTCTTCTTCAATTAAAAGTCTCCTCCTAAATTGCTAACCTTCCATACCTTCGGATAAACCATACAAGCACCATCAACACAAAAAAAAACCTGGTTAGCAATAATAAAGTGGTTAACGACACAAGTATATTTTCATATGGGCCAAATCACTGTTCTATATATAGTAGACTTAAGGCGAACATTCCTATGTAGCTGAATGTCTTGTAGTAACGTGACTCGTTATCAACAGTAAGCACATTAGTGTTCCTTGGCACTCAGGCCCACATTACTTTGTGGTATGACCGCACTTTAAAGAGTCAGGACGGGAAAAAAATGAGATTATGAAACTATAAACAATAAACATAGCACATCCACCAGGCAATGTTAGAGACTGTAAAGATATTTTGAGAAGTTGCCATTTCTCCTGTTTTTTACTAAGGAAGTTATGAAATCCGAATACACACTCAATCCTAAATCTATCATTGGGGCGGGCGGAGGCTGAGTCATTCCTAGGAGTAACTTTACACCGATCCTCGCACTCCAGGGTCGGGACAAAGACATCTCTCCTTTTCTCCTACTGTACGCTTCGTTAGGCCTCGGCCCAACTCCATTCTCCGGTTTCTCAAGTCAAAGACACCATTAGGGCTGAGCCCAGCAGTGGTGACGAGTGAGGACGCGCCTCGGTAGTTCAGGCGTCTCTCCTGCTCGGCCACTCCCGCAAGTCGCCGGGGGCTCGTACAGGCAGGCATCCTGGGAGCTGCTTTAAAGGAAGCGGCTGGCAGGCCCGGACCCGGCGAGCCCACCTCACAACTCTCGCAGCCCAGTGAGGTTTCGATAGAAGCGGTGTGTCTCCACAGGGGCTGCAGTGTTAGGGAGGCGACCGCACGGCAAAACCTGCAGGGACCGGATGCGCTGGGCCCGCGGGTTCACAGACCTGCGCGCGGGCGGCGCTCCAGTAATGCCGGGACCCCAGTGCCCCAAGCCCACTGTGCCGGGGCTCGCTGAGCGGTCGCGGAGTCAGAGGACGGAAGAGGACACCGGCAACGGCACCTACCTGGCAGCACCTCCTTCCCCGCCGGAGGCAACAGTAGAGCCGGCAGCCCCTCGCACCATCTTCCGCCGCCACCGAGGATGAGGCGGCGGCTACCAACCTTCCATCCGGCACCGCCACTGACACAATCACCGGTGTCCGGGAGCCAACCGCGGCCCCGAACTCCGGGCGGGAGGGAGGGGTCCGGGCGGAGAAGGGACGCGGTCAGGCCCCTCGGCTCTGGGTCAGAGGCCGGAGGACAGAGGGCCGCGGCCGGTCAGAGCCGAGGGGCCGAGGCGACGAGAGGACCCTGAGGCAGCGCCGAAAGCTCGGCAGGGCCGCGGACGCGGCCGCGGCAGGGTTTGTTGTTTTCGACTCCGTCCCTTCCCCCGCGGAGCATGCTGGGAATCAGCGGGCGGGGAGGAGGGGCGGTCCCGGAGCAGCAAGGAGGCGACGCGCAGGTCCGGAAGTGGCCGGCCTGCCGGGAACCGGGACGACCCCTCTTCCAGTTGCTATCCTCCGGCCGGCGCCTACGTCATCCTCTCCCAATCCGTGGAGACGGTGCTGGGACGGCCTGTTTCGGTGCTATCCGCGGTCCAGGCACTTAGTACCACAAGGTTAGCTTGGCCTTCCTTGCTACAGAGAGTTGGCCTGAGCTAGGTCACCCCTGCCGAATTTTGGATTAGCTCCCGGTAAAAGAGTTCGTCTCTCTCAGGCTGTGGCGGAGGAGCTGGTCAAGCTGAGGGTGGAGATACTCGCCTCCTGACCCGGGGGGCATTCCGCACACGGGGTCAAGATGTGTTAAGAGGATGAGGTACCAGGAGGTGTATTGTCCTGCCGGGCTGACTGTTGCCGCCACTACCCGCTCCCACCAAGACCGCCAGGACTGCCAGCGCTGACAGATGTCTGGGAGTTCTATGTGGCGGCACAATTTTTCTCAGACCAGGTAAGGCAAAGAAAACATCCGAAAGAAAATAAGACTTAAGGCCTGGTCAGTTGGAATGAAAATGAAAGCTTGACGCCACGACCATAGTTTTCAGCTTTATAAATACTGAGTTCTCTAGTGAGATAGCATAGAGTACTGTAATAAATGGGAAACAGTTTCAGGGGAACCCTGATTTTGAGAAGATAGGCATTCGCAGGCAATGACTTGAAGCCACAGGCTTAAGTGTTAAAATTTGAAGATCAGAAGTTACACGTATAAAAGTTATGTAATATTTTAAATTTTTGTTATATCCAGGGAATGTCTGGTATGAGGAGAGCTTGGAGTTGTTACCGCCAAGTTAACAGAGGGCTTTTGGGTTGTGTTCTTTCAAATGCACCAAAAGAACAAATAATATTAGAAAGTAAATTGTGCAATTCTTCATGTCATCATGGAAAATTATTTAAAAAAGAAAAAAACAAAAACATTTAACTAGTAAGCATTAAGGATTTTCGGTTTTCATCATACTGACCTGGTATCTGAAAGTTATGTGTAAGAAGGGCTTATTGTTTTTACCACTTTGTTTTTAATTTTACATTCCTGTGTATCCCAGAGAGATCTTGTCTTCAGTAAGTCATTTTACCTCAGTATTTATTTAAGCTGCAATGTTATTAGACCATTCCAACAAGATGCAGCAAAGAAGTGAAGATTAAGGGACTAAAATGTGCCCTGGCTGGCGTAGCTCAGTGGATTGAGTGCGGGCTGCGAACCAAAGTGTGGCAGGTTCGATTCCCAGTCAGGGTACATGCCTGGGTTGCAGGCCATGACCCCCAGCAACCGCACATTGATGCTTCTCTCTCTCCCTCTTTCTCCTTCCCTTCCCTCTCTAAAATAAATAAATAAATCTTTTAAAAAAAAGGGTTTTTTTTTTAAAAAAGAGACTAAAATGTTATGCTTTGGGGGAAAAGTATGAACTGATTTTGTTAGGCATAACATAGTAATCAGCACACAGAAAATAACGTGGTGAGAAAGGGTTTGACCAGAAAATTGGTAAGCAAAATACAGTGATATTAGTTTATAGAGGATATGTTAGTGCACCCTGGCCAGTGTGGCTAGGTTAGTTGAGTGTCACCCAGAAAACCAAAAGGTCACAGCGCAGGTTTGATTCCTGGTCAGGGCTCATGCCTAGGTTGTGGGGTTGGTCCTGTTGGACTGACTATGGAAGGCAACCAATCAATGTTTCTTTCCCTCTCTTCCTCCCTTCCCCTCAGGAAAAAATGATGGCTTCCCCCATTAAAAATAATAATAATGGTGCTTGACTGTCCTCTTAGTTGTCAATGACATTCATTACACAAACAGCTTGGGATGTAGAAGCATCTCTGGGATATGCCAGTGATAATGTATTATTATATAACAAAATGTTTTTAATGTAACTTGTCTCTCCTGCTTCTTTCTTTAGGGAAGAAAATTATTCCTCATCTTCTCTCTTAGAGGCTGGAAGAAATGATCAGAAGTGATTGGTTCATACCTTACAAATTCACACCTTCTCCGGAGTGTAAATGTTTAGAGTTTATATGCATCTCAAGTTATTTCCCAGTGATAAGTGAAAACATGAACATTTTTTAATATATATTCAGGAAGCTAGAGGAAGTACCAATACAGGTTACTAAAACCACATGTGTCCATAATAATGTGTCAACAAGTGATGTTTTCCTTCAAAACAAGGATATTGAAAATAAGAGTAAACAAAAAACCCTCATGTAGCATTACTTCTCAGCCAAGATTCTTGATAGGAAGTCCTCAGTGCAGTCTCATTTTCACTTACTGTGCTTTTCTCACTAAAATTACACATCATTAGAGACCTCCAAGTTATTGTGTTAAATGGAAAATTCTGAGACTTTTGAACGTTTGTAAAGAGTTTGCTATTTTAAATTAATCTTTTTATCTCTTTTTGTAGTGTCTCTTTCTTAATTTTCCTTTAGTCCTCTTCCAAATTCTCAAGTAATTATAACACAGTGTAAATGATGCAAATATAAGGTACTATGGGAGAATAGACAAGTGAGACCTAATCTTATCCTCATCATATTGTTTTGTAATAAACATTTAGATTCTTTGATAGATTTATAGTGTGGGCAAAAGGAAACAGTTCTCTTTCGGAGGCACATATAAGGATTATACAGAGTTTACTGCTAAACACACTAAGCATTTACTTTAAATTCATTTCAATCAAAATCTTTTTCCTTCAGGTCTCAACCTCACTGTCACTTTCTCAGTGAATTCTTCCATAACATATCCATAGTTCTCCTAGATTCTTGTATCTTTAAGTATCTATCTAACCTGAAATGTAAGTCCTTTTTAAACAGGAACTGTTTTCCCAGTATCTGTGTAGGTAGTGTATACACAAACATTTGTTGACAATGCCCTACACCTTTTTCAGACCCTCAATTTATAGCACAACTCACTAACTAGTCTCTATTATTTATTTCGTCCAAAACCAATCTGATTATGTCTCTTCCCTGCCTGACAACCTTCCTTGGTCTTATTTTGCATATTAGATATAATTTAAATTTATTAACTTACATATGAATCTCTTTATTATGTACCAATCCATCTCTGCAATTATACAGGGGTTGGCAAAAGTACATTTACAGTTGTGAGTACACAAACAAGTTTACTCTTGTATTATACATTACTTATTTCCCATACAAACAATTGTAAACCTACTTTTGCCAACCCCCTGTATCTTTCAGCACTTTTCCCCTTTACATTTGCCTTATATGGGTTTCCTCATCCATTAATGTGTCCTTCCCCTCTTGTTCACCTTTCAAAGTCATCCCTTAAAACTGATCTTGCACACCAGCCAACTTTTGCTGCTAGAGAATATAGTGATCACTCACCCTTTTACTACCTCTGCTCCATGTTACACTACCATAAATTTTTGTCTCCCCTCTTAAGTCTGTGAAACCCATTAGATTAGGAACTATAAATGATCCATTTTTAAGTTCTTAGAATTTTATAGAGAACTTGTCACAGAGTTAACAATAAACTGGTCAATATAATTCTGCAAATATTGAGAGTCTACTAGGTAAGTTATTGTGGGAAATTACTGCCCTCAAATATCTCAAAAACTCATACAGGGACCACTAAAAATCATAATAACAAGTGTATATGATAGTCTTCTTTTGGTATCCTTGGGGTAATTGGTTCCAGGACACCCTGCCCCTCTCTGCAGACACCAACATCTGCAGTGCTAAACTCCCTTATATAAAATGGCATATTTGCATATAATCTATGCACATCCATACATACTTTAAAACTGTCTTGAGATTACTTAATACCTAATACAATGTAAATACTATGTAAAGAGTTTGTTATACTACATTATTTAGGGAATAAGTGATGAAGAAAAAGTACATGTTCAGTACAGACCCAACCATTGTAGACCTAACTACATAGTACACATCAACAACAACCTAACATTTTTAGAATATAATAGTTGCAAACTGGTTGAATTTATAGAGGAGAAACTAAGAATTGTAGGGCCAACTATACATCAGGATATTGGAAAGATCATGGTATACATGATAGTTTTCTTAACTATCTGACTTGGGATTTTATGCTGTGTGTATATATATATATAGATATATATATATATATATATATATATATATCCATCCATCCATCTCTGCATACCTCTGAAACAACCTAGTCTCATTATCCTAATATTCTTTTAGATTATGTTTAAACAGCCAGCAACCACAACTGACAATTTGCCTTTTCAAAGTATGAGTCACAATTTTTCATTTTTAAAGTTAACCCCTTTTTAAGAGCATTGGACTTTTTTTTTAAGATCATAGCTAATTTGATGTAAAATATGGTCATACACATTAAGGCTTCTGCCACTATGATTATAAGTTAATGTTTTCAGCAGTGTTTACAGAATTTAAAGGTACTCTACTCAGTATGTTGGTGCTCACACATGTTACTAATGATAATGATAGTTAACTTATGACTACCTTCAAAGCCAGTGATGAGCTTGTGAGTAATGCCATTTCTGATGCTGCAACACATACAAGAAAATATTTCTAGCATGCTTAATTTCCCAACAGATTTAAACTAATGGAATGACAAAACATTTTTTAAGTTGTCTTTAATTATTTTGATGAAAAACTTCTCAGTTAAATGTACAAAAGTAGAGCTGGAATGTCTTAAAGCAGAAACTGATAGTCCTACAGATGCAGCGATGGATTGGATTCAAACATGAAGTGCTAGTTGGACTTCAGGAGCTTCCTTGACTGTGACCCACATTATTAAAAAATACATTTTAACACTGACCTGGTATGGGCCTCTGTATCAATAAAACAATTTGACAAGAAGTACTTATTGCCTGTCATGTACTCTGATGTTTTATAGTCTATGTTTTCCAATGCTAGTAAATTTCCCAACCCACTAAGTTGATTTTACCATCCTCTAATGACTTGGAAGACATTAGATTCAATGATTTAATTCCCAAACCTGGAGATTCTTTGTTTCTGGTATTTTCATCAGTAGCTCCCTTTTTAAAATATATCCCTCAATGGTAAAGTTTGTGATATGTTTATTTTAAAAAAGGATAACCTAACTGAAGCCCATAAAACATTTGTGTGTCTTAGATGCCACAAATGTGTTTTACATGAACCTATTTAGCTGTCTTAATAGCTCTGTCTGGTTTCTGTTAATTTTAAAAGGCAGTAATAAAGATGTGAAGAAGTTGGAACTGTTAATATATTGATGGTGAGATTGTAAAATGATGCAGCCACCTTGGAAAGCAGATTGGCATTTCCTCGAAAGGTTCAACAGAGTTATCACATAGCCCAGCAATTATACTCCTAGAGAAATAACATGTCTCTACAAAAACTTGTACACAGATGTTCATACTGCATTATTTGTAACAGCTAAAGTGGAAACAATCCTAATGTGCATCAAGTGGTCAATGGATAATCATAATGTGGCATGGTCATATAATAGAATATTGTGTGATGCAAGAATTTCAATTCCTTGCATAGTAAACAATTACTAAATGGTCCAGCAATTCCATTCCTAGATTCTACACCAAAAGAATTCCACTCCAAGAAAATTTAAAACCTATATCCACACAAAAATACTCATAAATCTTAACAGCATTCTTAGTAATAATGGAAGAGACCCAAATGTCAACTGATGAGTGAATAAACCAAATGTAGCCTATCTATACAATGGAATAGTGTCTGGCAATGAAAAGGAAAGAAGTACTGGTAGGAGGTACAATATAAATGAACCATGTAAATGTAATAAGTGTAGAAAGCTAGTCAGAAAAAGCCACATACTCTGATTCTGCTTATTATGAAATGTCCAGAATAGACAAATTCCTAGAAAGAAAGTGGATTAGTGGTTGGCAGTGTCTGGGGAAAAGGAAGAATGACTGCTACTAGCCAGGAGTTATCTTTTGAGTATCATGCAAATACTCTGAAATTAGATAATGGTGATGATTATACAACCTTATGAATATCCTAAAAAGCACTGAATGGTACACTTAAAAAGGGTGAATTTTGGTATGTGAATTATATATTTCAATAAAACTTAAAGAAATGTTAATTATATTTTAAAAACTCAAATAAGATTAGTGAATAAACAAAGAATAACCACATAAATCACTTGTTAAGTTCTGATTCATTAAACCATTACAGAAGTGGTTTAAAGGTCTTTAGAAATGAGATTTAATCTTGAAGTGGCAGTCTATTAGAAGGAGAAATTAATGGATTTCTAATGATTAGCCCTGGATGAAGGCAATTAAGTAGTAAATTGTCTATGCTATTGTTTACCAAACAATAAAAGTAGTCTGCTTTAACTATCATCACGTGCTTTCAATCTTTAACAATACCAAAGAAAAAACACTCCTCCCCCCCACCCCCGAAAAAAAAACAGTTTGTTACTCTAAGTCAAGGCTTCTCAATCTGTTGTAATTTGGAGCCAGGTAATTCTTTGTTGTGGAGGCTCTTTTGTGCATTTTAGGATGTGTAAATGTACCCCTAGCCTTTACCCCTTGATTTCAGTAATACTCTCTTCCTTCCCAGTTACAGTAACCAAAAGTGCCTCCAGATACTGAGAAATGTATCTGGAGAGGCAAAATCACCAAGGGAAAGAACCACTGATGTAATTCAAAGTAAACGCTGCAGTTTCCATTAGTTTTTAACAACATGTATAACCCTCGATGTAAGAATAGGTATTTTATTACTTAATCTTTTAATAAACATTATATTCTATGAAGTTAATGTGTGTGCGTCCATCTTCTGTGGTACTATATAAATCCTACCTTTAAGCAGCATATTGAAAATACATGACTGCCATGATTGTAAAGATGCCTAAACAGAAATTGAATAATTTTAGTTCAATCATTGTATCCAGAAATTACTCTGTGAATCTTAAAGGATTTTCGTCCTTTAAAAAAGTCATAATGAAAAAATGTAAATCTATTACTTTTTCCTTTTTTACTATAATTATTTTACTTAAACTTATTTTACCAATAAAATATTTTTAATGTCTACAATTACATATGTCCTATTATTATTTTTAATTTTATTTCATGAATATTAAAAGTAATTTTCTCATTTAGAGGAAGAACTTTAAAAATGATCTATATAAGCAATCAAATGTGCTAGGTGTGCCAGTGTTTCAGAGAAGGAGAAGGGAGCTAACAAAATTGAACTAGTGCCTGTGAGGCATCATGCCAGGTGCTTTGCATATTTTATTTAATCCATTGTAATATAACAAACTGCCATTTCACACATGAGGAAACTGAAGCTCAGGTTTAATTAACTGAGTGTTTTTCCTTGAATTCTACATAAAATTCTAAATAGCATGAATAATTTGTATTAGGGGATTTTCATTTTTTCGGTCTTGGGCTGATTATTGCTCTCTCAAAACCAAACAATATAATGGCATACAGTTTGTATAATATAGCTAGTACCTTTTTTAAAAAGAAGTATATTTTACATAAACATATTAGTTTTAGGTGTGCATGTGCAGCATAATGATTCTATATTTGTAAACATTGCAACATGGTCATAATAGGTCTAGTTAACACCTTGAAGAAAATTTTTTAAGATCTACTCCCTTAGCAGCTTTCAATTGTGCAACAGTTTTATTATATATGGTCACCACAATGTATGTTACATCCCAGTGACTTATTTATAACTGGGAACATTTGTATCCTTCAACCCCCTTTCACTCGTTTCTCCCACCCCCACCTCTGGCAACCACCAATATGTTCTCTGTGGAGCTTGGTTCTGTGTTTTGTTTTGGTTTTTTAGATTCCACATATAAGTGAGATCATACAGTATTTAGTGTTTGTCTTTGTGTGATTTCAGTTAACAAAATTCCTTAGATGGCAAAGTTTTATTCTTTTATATGGCTGAATAACATTTCATTGTGTATATAAAACACATTTTCTTTATCTATTCACCCATAGATAAACACTTTGGTTGTTTCCATATCTTGGCTATTGGAATGTAACTAGTAACTTTTAAACTTTGCACATTTGTTATATCTTAATTTAATAAGAATTCCTCTCCAGGACATTAGTATACTTCATGGTAGGACCACTGTCCCAAATTATGAAACTATTAGTATATACATACATTTTAAAAGGAATTTTTTTAGACATAAGTACGTACTCACATCTCTAGTAGATGCTTAGTCTTGTGCTGTGTATTTAACTCTTGTTGAATGGATAATGTATTAAATGATAGTAAATGTGACATCAACTCAAAGAAAAATTGTCCAGAAATGGCTCTATGAGCAAAGCTTTGGTGCATAATTTTAATTTGAATGGCATAAATAATTAGGAGGTAGAATTATTAAGATAAACCCTAGTCTAAAACATTGCACAGGAAAGAAGCAAGACTGGCATCTTTTAAAATATTCATAAAATGTTCTCTCATATCTGCAGTTGTAAACTTTTAGAGTGGATTCTAAATTCCAAATAGAAAGCTAAATACCAGGAGGAAATATGTGTGGCATTTTTCTAAGCGTGAAATTTCTAAGCATGGCCTCAGTAAAATTAACCACATTAGTGCTCCTTTGCTCCAGCCACAAAATACATCATACCCAATTATTAAATACTGTCCTATGCCACAGTGGAAGTTGCCCCTTGTCATGATAGGAAAACCAGTTGGGGAATCAGAATATATAAACTTGAACTTTAAATAATTAGTCTGCTCTTTTAACATTATGGCAACCTAGCAACATTCTTTATTTGGTAAATATAGACAGGGTGTGGTGGCCCTTAGCCAGCTGCCTGTGTCCAACATTCAAAAGGTAATGTGGTACAGTTTACATTTAAAAGTAGAGAAGGTACACTTGATGTATACTGTTTCTTTGATGATTGAGGCTATTAAAGAAAATTGTGAAAATTGAAAGAGTACACAGTTTAAAAGTGATAAAAGGCTATTCTTCTCTAACCCCTCCCATTTATCTCTAATCTTTTAAAATGATGGCAGTGGACTAGGGTTGGATTTCCCTGGGTATTCAATAAATCTGTGTATGCCTTCCCTTAGACATTGCAGTTTATAGTGGGGAAATAAACTGCAGTCCCTCAGAAATCATGCCAGATGTTTGGTATGCTTTGCAATCAATTTTTTATTACTCATTGATTCATTAGTTCATGTATTCACTCAACAAACATTTATCATGAACCACACACTCTGGCAGGATACAGTGAAGTTGGAAAAACAATTGTTTATCAGTGGGTATGTGGATGAGTAAACAATGGTATAGTTAATTCATATGCTTGAATACTGCCCAATAGTTATCACACATTTAATGCCTTTTCCATCTTAACCAAATGTTTATATTGTACTGTGGTCATAACTTTTGCAGTTTGAGATGCCACAACAAAACACATGAATTTCTTTTTCCTTCTTCACAATTTCGCAGATAGATTTGTTCTTACCATAGCTCTTAGCAACCTCCGCATTTTGTTTAAGTAGAAAATTATCACCTTTTCACTTAAAGCACTTTAGGGCTTCTCTTTGGCATATCCTAATTGCCAGCATCACTAATCTTGTGCTTTGGGACCATTAGTAAGTAAAATAAGGGTTACTTGTACACAAGGACTTGTGATACCAAGACAGTTGATTTGATAATAGAGGTGACTACTAAGTGATTAGTGGTTGGGGAGCATATAACAGCTTGGAAATTCTGGACAAAGGGATGATTGACATCCTGGGTAGGGTGGAGCTGAATAGTATGAGATTTCATCAGGCTACTCAGAATGGCACCCAATTTAAAATTTGTAAATTGTTTATTTCTGAAATTTCCTATTTAATTTATTTGGACCATGGTTGAACAAAGGTAACAAATC